ATGATTGATGATGATGATGATGATGTTGATGATGATGATGATGATGATGATGATGATGATGATGATGATGATGATGATGATGATGATGATGATGATGATGATGATGATGATGATGATGATGATGATGATGATGATGATGATGATGATGATGATGATGATGATGATGATGATGATGATGATGATGATGATGATGATGATGATGATGATGATGATGATGATGATGATGATGATGATGATGATGATGATGATGATGATGATGATGATGATGATGATGATGATGATGATGATGATGATGATGATGATTGATTGATGATTGATTGATGATGATTGATGATGAATGATGATGATTGATGATGTTTGATGTTGGTTGATGATGATTGATGATTATTGATGCTGATTGATGATGACTGATTATGACTGATGATGATTGATGATGATGATGATGATTGATGCTGATGGTTGACGATGATGATTGATGGTGCTTGTGATTGGTGATCATTGATGATGATTGTTGATGATTGATGTTGATTTATGATGTTTGATAGTGATTGGTGATGATTGATGATGATTGATTTTGATCATTGTTGATGATGTTGGGTTTTTGATGAATATGGTTAATGATGATAATTGATGATGATTGTTGATGATTGATTGGTGATGATTGATGGTGATTGATGATGATTGATTGATGATGATTCATGATGATTTCTGATGATGCATGATGATTGATTGGTGATGGTTGATGATGATTGGTGATGAATGATGATGATTGATGATGGTAGATGAGGATTGGTGATGATTGATGATGATGACTGATGATGATGACTGATGATGATGGTTGATGATGATGATTGGTGATGATGATTGATGGTGATGATTGATGCTGATTGTTGGTGATTGATGATGATTGATGATGGTGATTGATGATGATTGATGAGGATGGTTGATGGTGATGATTGATGAAAATGGATGATGATTGATGATGACTGATGATGGTTGATGATGCTTGATGACGATTGATGATGGTTTGTGATTATTGATGTTTAATGATGATGATTGATTGTTTGATGGTGATTGATGATGATTGATATTTGATGATTGATTGATGACTGCTGATGATTGATGATGATGACTGATGATGATGTTGATGATTGGGGTGATGATTGATACTGATGGTTGATCGTGATGATCATTGATGATGATTGATGATGATTTTTTTTTGGGAAATTGGGATTTGTAATGCTAAGTTACGTCAGATGGACTTGAGAGTAATGAACTCTCCCGGGATAAATGAGTTACGCTTCATAGGTTACACATGTTAGGACATGTACTGCGCATGCCAGAATACCGTCTGCTTCGTGGAGCTCTTGCAGCCCAGCACTGTGCTCAGTGGTAGCGACTGAGAGGTGAACAGTGCAAACGAAGTATGAAAACACTAACTAGTAAACGTAGTTCGTTCGACCGCTGCTCCTTCCCCGGGTGGGGACCCAGGGGCTTAACTCACCGAGTGTTTATGACTGGCGGAAATGACCCAATCGCACAGTTAGTGGCGCTTGTGAATCAAAGCTACCTCCTTCAATACGTAACTACCTGCTTGCTGAACTAACTGAACATACCATCATCTCTTGATCTTATTTCCCTCACCCTTCTACTTTTCAGTGATCGAAACTGTAGCAGCTGGAACCAGCGTACCTATGGTACGCAGTTTAAAGCTGAAAAATTTGTTGATTGACAGTTTAATTGGCACACATCTGAAGAAGGTGATCTCCCTTGCTCGTGCCTCTCGTGTCCAATCCATGACGAACACCTTGTTGAACGCCTCAACAGCGTTTAGTCTACCTATCTGGGCGTTCATTTTACCAGCAACCACAACGAAGTCTGAGATTTTAGAAGAGCACCTAGAGCGTCATCGAAACTATTTTTGGCAGATTCAGAGCTGCAGTCAGTTGGGGCGCAAGCAGACACAAACTGTGCGACGGACCTCACTTCCCCTAGGTTCTCTCACGGACGTAGCTGGAATCTGGAAGAGGATGAGGAGGCAGTCAGTTCAACCGCGGTGCTTGCGTCCAGTTGAGAACCATGGGCTTAAACTAGGCGTGGTGGCTTTTTCTTTGTTCAGGTCTTTTTCTGCCACGTACCATGCACGAACAGTACGTTAGTCCCAGCTGCCTCATTTTCGGTCACCAGTGGACGTCGTATCCAGGTACTACTGACAGTGATACCGGCACTTTGTTGCTTTTGATTTGCTCTGGTTGCTTCCTCGTCAGCATTATCCTCAGTTATAAGCGGGTGCGTGTTGTGCGTTCATGGCATCCTCAGTTACGTTCGCCGCTCAGTTGGGGAAACGGATGTATTCAGTGAAGGCGATATCATCTGTTCAGGAACGCCAGTGTCTTCATGATTGAGCCGCTACTGCATGTGTCGCTAACCACTGGCGAGTTGCGCCCAGGAGTTTCCATCCAATTAGCCGGCAGCTGTTATTCCGGTAGGGTTTGATTCATAGTGTTTTCATTCCTCAACGCCCCACCGTTGCCCAATTTAAACAGAATTTTCCGTCTCCAGCTATATCTTCTAAATTTGCGTCCTTCCCTTGATGTCTCGACAATACAGTGCAGAACCATAGTGAGCTTAAACCGTTCCTGTAGAAATCCAAGGATGGTAATGTGAATTTGGGGTGCAGCACTTCGGATTCCACGCCCACTGGGACATCTCAAGTTCACACTGGTGTCAGGCTTCCTCTCTCGAGAATTCTATTTAAGCATCCTTTGAGAAATTGTGAGTCCTGAGGCCAAAGGAACCACGGCGTTTTGCCAAACCCAAATTTTGAGTGGAAATAGTGAGGTACCACAGTGTGTCTACGTTAAATTTAGCAAATTTTCTCTGGATCAAAGGATATCCTGTTTGCTGCATTTTATACCAATTATTCTCACTTTTATCCTCCGTTCACATGTTATTGACAGTATTGGACCAATAACATGGTTTCGCGGTTGTGAAGCATCAGTGTTCTCTGTCAGTGATGATGATAGTGGATGGTGGTGGTGCATATACGATGTGCGCAATGTGCATAGTGGGAAAGCATATAAAACTACAGCTAAGTGTAATATGCTACCCTTGTGTATGTGTAGAATTTCCCAGCTGAGCCGCAATCAGGTTGGCGTGTCTCACATTGCCAACGCACCTGAACTAGTATCTACATTCAATGGCCCATAATACTAGGTAGTTATTTGACAACACGGACAAAACCCCGGCACATATTCCGTGGGGACGAGTGTCCAGTAAGTTAAACGTACAATGTATGGGATGAACAGTTAGTATTCCCGCAGTTTATGTCTCTAGATCTGTGACGTGCAGCCTAGTGAATCTTTGGAATCCCCTGCTGATCAATAACCGGTAGTCTAACCTATTCACGTAATGTTTTGGAAATAAAAGTTTTCTACCATTTAGTAGAGTCCTTCCACTATATCCATAGACACTAAATCTTTTGCTCCATTTTCACTTGATACTTATTTTGAAAAGCGCACCACATTGACGATTATTAATGTCCACTGTGTTCGCAAATTTCAAGTCCTCGCCTACTAGTTCGCCAAAATCTTTTCAGAAAGGAAATAGCACCTCTTGGGAGCCGTCAGCGAAATAGCCCTTCTGTCAGAACATTAACTGAACGGATAATGTGGACTGCACCTCAAGCTGCAAGTTGACGATTTACTTGTCACCCGGTCTGTCATATGTGGGTCGAACCAGGTATGTTTAGCCTACTTCACTGGACGAGATGGGATTAAGAGCACAGGGCAAATTTTCAACTACTTGTACGGTATCTATCTGCGGGCATCTATCAACAAATTACATGGTTTCAGAGTGTTTCGGGTTCCCTGGAATATTTTCCCCCGCTTGATCACTTGAGTTTGTCCGTATTTTAAAAAGGCGAACAACCAAAACTATTTCCATCATAGGAACCCTTAAACGGAGGTTTGCGTCTAAAATACTTTGATGCCTGTCGCGGGATTGTAATCTTTTTCCCTTCACACATTGGAATATGTTCGGAAATGGTCACAAGTTTTGAAAGGTTAATGTGGAAAGATTCGGTACCGTGTAGCTTATCCGTCAGTATGAACTTAGCACGTCATCCTGCTGTAATCGGTCGGGTATGCCTCTATGTTCTCGGTGACTCGCTAGTGCCCTTTTTTGAGTTACGAGTTCATATGGCTTTGATAACAGCCCAGCCATAATCGAAAACCGCTTAGCCTATTCAGTTTAATGTCCTGCTTCGCTCGCCTTAGGACAGTAGCGTGGATTTGACTGCAGGCATAGCGTAACGACATTGACTACTGATGAAGCATGCGAATAGTCTGTGGCCATGTTGAAGCTCCGTTCCACGTCTACTGGAAATTGAAATTTGATACGGAACTTGTGGAACTGCTCTGCAGTATTCGTTTGCAATTGTGTAATAGTCAATGAATGTCCATGAAAGTTCCAGAAGACGCGTGAGATAATCAGTTTTTGAAAACTATGTGCATATGAGACGTTTACTTTCCTGTCCACTAGCTTGTAACTGCTTAGTTGGTGTTTGCTAATGAATAGCTTCGCGGCGTAGGGCTTTCCTCTTTTCAGTAGTAGTAGTAGTCGTTCTTTTGAAGTGCTGTTCACAGGTAGACAGCTAAGCCATTTCCAGAGAAACCAGCGAAACGCACGGAAGATTATTACACTGATAGCCACGCTGTTTCGAGATGTTGCGTTGCAAGCCAAGTCGGTTGGTCAGCAATGCATCAAATATTACTTCATTATACATGGATAAAATTATAATGTACTGACGTTTGTACGCGGTTCAGAGCACTTTTCACTGTTTTCTCCGGCGCTGTCGTGAGTTCCTCGCATAAGTACTCGATTATGAGTAGAGTTTCTGGGAAAACTACCCAGTTGTTTTACTAATCCATAGCATTACACTGGACCTTTGTCTGCAATATCCAATCCATCCAAAGTGTTCCTTGTTCTGCTGTTTCAAGTTACGTCGCAGCCTCTGGTTCGGTTTACTTCGACACAAACAAATTTGCTTGCGATCCAATGCACTTCTATGGGAAACTTGTGCCCACGGCTTACGGAGACACAGAACAACTTGCTGCTGGCGAAGGAGAACTGGCTGCTGGTGGTGAAAAACGTTCGCCGAGTGATTTCGCATTATGGAAGTCATCCAAACGCGGTGAGCCAGCGTGGCCCAGTCCTTGGGGTCTCGGAAGACCCGGTTGGCACATAGAGTGTTCCGTAATGGCCAGCAACGTTCTTGGCGATTCGATGGAAATCCATTCCGGTGGTGTAGATCTGAGGTTCCCCCATCACGACAATGAGTTGGCTCAATCTGAGGTTAGCTTTCTTTCAAGTAGTCTCTTACACGCTTTGCACTTTCTAATCATATACAATAAATAGTTTTCAAGTAAACAGTGAGGTCGCTTGTTGGTCATGGTGCGAACCTACCTACCGGAGAGTCCATGGTTCGAGTTTTCACTATGGTGGTTTGTGGTTTCCATATGTTCAAATCTGTCGGCGCAAATACGCCGCACCAGTGAATAAGGTTAAGCACCCAGAGTGATAAAATGACTAGTCCATGGAAGATTTTACTTCCCATGGAACAGTAGATTTTCATGTCAGCGCTGCACCGAAATAAGAACATGTACGTCCATCTCGTGTTCGTAAGTTTTATCTTTATATCACGCTCCCTGTGAATAGTCTATTCCACGATGTCAACTATATTTTTTAACTCCTTCCACATTGTGCTTCGATCGATCCGCTTCTGTCGCCGACAAATGATAATCATCGGGTTATGGTGGTTGGGACATGCCACGCAACCGTCCACCAAAGGAATTGGCCTTTTCCCTATTGGCGAAAAGGTCACGGGGAGTAAGCTACAGGGTGGCTGTGAGACGAAGGTAGTTGCAATCAGACTGGTTGCAGCCAATTCTTCGAGTCACCCTGGTTAACACCCATGTTGTCCTCCTCGCGCGTGCTCGGAAGTTCTAGGTAGCCGATCCCAGTGGCGAGCGCGTTGTCACTTCCTATCCGGATTAATTCGTTACGTCATGTCTCTTATTGTACGCGGGAGCTTTGTTGGTTGAAGTTCGGAACAGATGCTTGATCAGTGCCACTGGTCATGCTCAGAACTGTTTTCTCCATCGCTGATCGAAGATATAGGCATCTAGTTCTTTACCGTTATATCTGAAGACGTGATGATTTTTCGCACCATCGCACATCGCTTTTCCCCCTACTCTGCAGTAGGTCTTTCTTTTTCTCGTTATTGTTTGGCACTTAGACCCTCACCAATTCTACCACCCTGTGTTGGTCGGACTTGAGTCGTCCAGTGCACTGGCTATACTGGCCGAAACTTTGTTTCCCCAAGACAACCATGCCCACAAGGTCAACAACAGTAGCGAGCCCAGTACCACGAGTAATCCTAATAGGAGCTGGTCCAGATGTTGAGTAAAGAAATATAGTCGTATTCAATCAATTGGAAAAAGTTTGGAACCGATTGAGAAGTCATCGTTTCAGAAGGGCTTGGTAAACAATCGGTAGTTTTTAATCGGGCAACTTTTCGCTTTTGACACAAAAACTTCATCAGGCCAAGTGGGCAGGTCACCAATTTGGCCAGATTTTAAGGCAGACAGAGAACCAATCACTGAAACATCTCATCTTAGCGCACTAGATCAGTGTTAAGTGTCAATTAGTGCGTTCGTCGAAATCTTGCGGTTGATGGGTTGGGGGAGTTTCAAATTAGTTCCGATCGGGTTTGGATCCCCGAAGTTCCACTTCAAGATGTTTCAATTAATGATTCATATTGGGTACCACTGGTAGACTTCGTTGGTCTGTATGGGCTTGTGCGCGCTACGACAATGTGGTTGAAGGCAGGGGAACATGGGTTAGATTAAGTGGAATCCAGATCTAAACTACATTAGGCCGTGGTCTATCCCACAGACTTCTAGTAACTCCTAACCAAAGGAAATGAAGGGGAAGCCATCCAAAAGCAACACCGCAAAGAGAGACAGATGCGTAGGTTCGAAAAGTTACTTTCTAAGGCTTAGGTTTCTAGTGAGCTCCTGACGAAGCCTGAGCCCCCTACTAGCTATTGTGGTGTGGTGAATTCATCGCACAGACCGCTGTGTGAGGAAAAACGCTGTCTATTAGAGAGGAGCTTAAATTTTGCAATAACCAAAAGGGTGATAAGAAAAGGAAAAATAATCCTTAGCGCTGAATTTGCGTTTAAAAACTTTTCGCCAATGGAGGCAGAGAAGCTACGGGTACAACTGGTCACAGTCCACAAGTCTAAGCAGCCAGGAGCTCCAAATATTACACCAGCAGAGCAAAGAGCATTAAAAACCCTAGAACTGGTTGAAAACATAGTGATTACAATTACGGATATGGGTAAGGTCACTGTGGCTATGGAAAAAATTGACTTACTACAGGTTAAACAACACCTAGTCGGTCCTTACCGTCCAACTAACCGTGAGAACATTACATCCACAATGAACAAGAGTAAAGTTGAAATTGGGACGTACTCGCTGTCCAAGATAAATCACCTAGTACAAGGTAATTCTTATCGATTGTACCCCCAAAATTGAAGTCCAACCACAGCTTCACGGCCTACAGAAAATCCATAAAACAGAAGTCCCGGTGAGACCGACAGTGGATGGAATGGGAGCCCCACCAAAGGAGCTGGCCAGATTCTGGGCGGCTATTGTAAAACTTCTCTACGGGGAATCTAGTACTTACATTAAGGAATAAGATGACGTCGCCAACAAAGTAGCGGATGCCACCGCGGAACCAGACGACATTCGTGTAAGTTTCGATGGCAATTCAATGTCAATACAAATGTGCCCAAAGGAAAGCTTTTGGAAATAGCCAAATGACTGCTACTGGCGAACAGGACACAGCTTAGGTAAATCAAATAGTGAAAGGTATAAAAGCATGCCTCAACCTCACCCACTTCGTTTTTGACTCAGTGTTTTGCACTCAAGGCCAAGGTTTAGCGGTAGGATCCCCAAATTCTCCGGTTTACGCAAATATTTTTACGGAAGGTTCTGCACAGAAAGCTTTAGCCGGATTCCCGTAACCACCTAAGATATTCTGCTGTTATGTAGATTACACTTTCTTCGTGGTGAAACGAAACAAGGCCAGTGAGTTTTACCATTATCTGAATGACCTGAATCCACACATCAAAGTTAGTGTGGAGATAGAGTCAACTTCGGGTACACTGAGCTTTTTAGACTGTATGAAACGTAAGTTGGGGGAACTAAAGACCACAGTGTACAAAAAGCCAACAGACAGTGGGGCGATTTCGAACTGCTCGTCTGCCCATCCGAGGTCGGTTTTTGCCAGTAGTGCCTTGTCAATGTTTAGGCGTGTAAGGGCCCTGTGCACAGAAGAGGCTGATCGAACATCGATCCAAATTGAGGTGAAGCACAAACTTCGGGGTAGTGGATATCCAGCTAGTTTAATTAGGCGTCAACTGCTAAGGGTGTTGGTACCGGTGGCGAAACCCATTGGAGAATGGATTGGGACTGTCGTCTTTCCATATAAATCAGGGATATCGGAGTGTTCTAGACACGACCAACATAAGAGTGGCCTTCCAGAAGGGAATTACTGCGCTCCGTACTGGTGCAATTAAAGAATCGAGCGTCACTGAAAGTCCCAGCAATGGCGGAATACGCACTGGACACGGGACACCAAATATTTTCGGAAAATGTCGAGGTTTTCAGGCATGGACTACGGTCCACACCACAGAGTTTGATGGCCGAGGCGGTGAAAATCGCCAAGCATTCCGGTGTAAATAGGATGGAAGACATAGAACTGGCAAGTGTGTGGAGAACGATCTTGGATGGGTCGAGGTGACATGTGCTGGTGTGCGGTTATCAGGAGGAGTCATCAACACAAGTAGTTTAGATCTGGATTCCACTTAATCTAACCCATGTTCCCCTGCCTTCAACCACATTGTCGTAGCGCGCACAAGCCCATACAGACCAACGAAGTCTACCAGTGGTACCCAATATGAATCATTAATTGAAACATCTTGAAGTGGAACTTCGGGGATCCAAACCCGATCGGAACTAATTTGAAACTCCCCCAACCCATCAACCGCAAGATTTCGACGAACGCACTAATTGACACTTAACACTGATCTAGTGCGCTAAGATGAGATGTTTCAGTGATTGGTTCTCTGTCTGCCTTAAAATCTGGCCAAATTGGTGACCTGCCCACTTGGCCTGATGAAGTTTTTGTGTCAAAAGCGAAAAGTTGCCCGATTAAAAACTACCGATTGTTTACCAAGCCCTTCTGAAACGATGACTTCTCAATCGGTTCCAAACTTTTTCCAATTGATTGAATACGACTATATTTCTTTACTCAACATCTGGACCAGCTCCTATTAGGATTACTCGTGGTACTGGGCTCGCTACTGTTGTTGACCTTGTGGGCATGGTTGTCTTGGGGAAACAAAGTTTCGGCCAGTATAGCCAGTGCACTGGACGACTCAAGTCCGACCAACACAGGGTGGTAGAATTGGTGAGGGTCTAAGTGCCAAACAATAACGAGAAAAAGAAAGACCTACTGCAGAGTAGGGGGAAAAGCGATGTGCGATGGTGCGAAAAATCATCACGTCTTCAGATATAACGGTAAAGAACTAGATGCCTATATCTTCGATCAGCGATGGAGAAAACAGTTCTGAGCATGACCAGTGGCACTGATCAAGCATCTGTTCCGAACTTCAACCAACAAAGCTCCCGCGTACAATAAGAGACATGACGTAACGAATTAATCCGGATAGGAAGTGACAACGCGCTCGCCACTGGGATCGGCTACCTAGAACTTCCGAGCACGCGCGAGGAGGACAACATGGGTGTTAACCAGGGTGACTCGAAGAATTGGCTGCAACCAGTCTGATTGCAACTACCTTCGTCTCACAGCCACCCTGTAGCTTACTCCCCGTGACCTTTTCGCCAATAGGGAAAAGGCCAATTCCTTTGGTGGACGGTTGCGTGACATGTCCCAACCACCATATGTTGGTGAGCAGTACTTGTCCACTTAGTGATCGTAATGTGTTTGCGAGTTGTCGATATCACATCATTTCGTTGCGGATGAGTTGCAGACAGATCACTATCACCAAACAACAAAGGGACCCGGTTCCATAGTACTGCTGTTGCAGTCACCCCACCGCTAATTCTTTTTGTTTCGACCAAATTCATTTCGGGCAAAGTTACTGTCTCCTTGACAGTGCGTGCATTGATTGCCTTTGTTGTAGTGCTTTATGCAGTAGTCAAAATAAGTAAGCTTGTCAAGCCCCAAGCCCCTGTGTCGGCGTTTCAAATGGATATAGTTGGGTGGGAAATCTTGGTGAGAACAAGATATCGCAGCATGGGTTTACTTCTGGCATTCTATCTCCTGCAATGTAGTGTAGTAGGTTGTGTCAACTAAGGACCACTGAATGACAGTCCTCCAATCTTTCTCTAGGTATCAGTTCGATTCCTAGACTTTCGGATCACTGGATCGTGCGTCCTATGGTTTAACAAAAAGAGATGAGGAACAACTCTAAAGAACCCAAGTGGTTGTGATTAAACTTTTGAACAATGCGTAAATTTTAAGACAACCAGAGGTCGGTGATGCAAAAGGGTCCGAAACATGTTCACAAGAAAACCTCAAGAACATTCTTGTGCCAAAGTATACTTCGAAGAGTTATGTTGCCTACAGGTTGTTTTTGCCTTACTGCCTCCGCCACCGGACTGGTATGCCCCACATATAAAAGGATTAGACTAGTTTGCGATTGGCTCCAGGGAACATTTCTGATACCTGTTTGATCACAGGTCGGCTTCTCGGTTCTATGAAGGGAAATTTTACTTCTCCCTCTGTATTGTTCTTCAGACTTTTGTGGCATCGGCTGAAAATGATCCAACTACGATTATCGCCCATATCGTTACGACCCTGTCCGTAAAACTAGCAAATATTCTTGACCATCTAATCAGGGAAATAAGATAATAGCATTCATTTCGAATTCCGGAGGATCTGTCCAACCCAGCAGCGTTCAGTGTCCCAATCGAAAGCACTCACTCCGTCATGGTAGTGTGCAATGATCTCGGGGAGTAAATGGCTTGAATTAAGATCTTCATGGTTCAAACATATCAGGAGGACGAACAAGTAGTAGTTGAACGAAGGAGATGAAGTGAGGCCTTTCCCCTGGCGACCAGCTCTTCCATGTTTACGGAAGCATCTGTGATACCTTCCCCCGAGGATGGAAGGGTGAGAAAGGGCGAATCCGAAATCGCATACTTGGATCGTTCGACGGTCGACCGTCACCGCCAGCGCACTGTTCACGGTCGAAATACTGTTGAAACCAGTGTCTTGTGCTATCCGAAGGGAATCTGCTATGTGGAGTCGTATTTGGAGTCAGACAGTTATGTTCTCGGGCTAGACAAACTTCGTCAGCCAAATGGGTCAGTCATTGCCCTTGGAAAGGATCCACCCTAATAATCGTTACCTTGCGGTTCAAATCATTTAGTCACAAGCTCATGATAGGGCACTTCAACCAAACTTCCCCCCTTCGGTTTGGGCAACTAGGAAGTGTCATAAGTCCTTGCATCGCTCCACTGACCCTTCTGATTTTCATCCCTATAAAACGGAGTATTTATGTTTTTATATGTCAAAGTCACATGGGTATTTTGAGGCCAGCATGTTCTGTTGCGGTGGCATGACTAACGTACTGAGGTTAATGCTTCAGTTCGCCTTTGATTAACGGACTAAACATCCACTTTTACGGCCATTATCCATCAATAAAAGGGCAAGGATAATAATAATAGGGATTATGCGAATAAAGCACTATCTGTCAGCGTTTGACCACCACCGAACACTCTTCTTCTTGAACCTGACAGGCTTACTTTGGACATTCCCACTGGGTGCACTACTTTCTGCACTCGGGACATCTCACCATATCTGGTTGCAAAATGTCGAAGTCATTAAAGAACTTCATCACCATCCGGGATGCGCTGAAATGTCACTCTGCACGTCGTCTGCGGTTAACCTTCCTGCTTCATTCCTGGCGTGATACGATGGATTACAGTCAAGATACTTTGGCTGAAGCCATAAGTTATGAAAAGACGCTTGTAGTAAGTCCATTTACCTCATGTTACCTATCTTGTAATTATCATGAGTGGTATGCTTGTTCGACATATGCCAAACTAGTTTTTAGCTATCTTCACCTACAAAGTGTTTTTTTGGATCTGGTTGGGAGCTCAGTTTTACCATGCTTTAATGAGCTGCCCTGTTTGTTGAGGTCAACTGCATGCAGGACCTGATTGGATGCCATTGATTAAACCAACTCCTCCGAAGTAAAGCACTTTTACTCACACCACTGTCACTGTTAACAGCGGGCAGTTTTCGTGTTGCTCTGAAGAGGGTAACTCGCGTTAGCGGTAGCAACTGGTCATCCTCTGTTTTTGAGGCATCCCAACTCCTTATTCTATCTACTCTTGACATCTTTCCCAGGTACTGTGCTAACTGCAAGGACGAGAGGTTGAGCACAATGCACTAAGGGCTGACAGCAGCTCGAGTGTGCTCGGTTTGACGCCTGATGAGCCGAAGTTGCTGTCGTTATAGGTCTTTTTACTAAGATACCACCAGCTTCTCGGCAAACGATATAAACGTTGTATGAAGTTTGGTTGGGTTCGCATGGATGCCAATTTGAAACTGCATCCCTGGTGCTTGACTCACTAGACGTCCTTAGTGGTTCGCGATCTTCAGGGTGAACAGCTGAAAGTCGGATACCAACTCCGTACATTGGTACACTATCTGACGGTTGGAGCCTATTTTTGCTTTGCTTTAGCGAATAGTACAATGATGACCATTTATGGAATGGCTGGACTGACTAAACTCTTGCGGAGGGAATTGTAACCCGCTGCAAAAAGACTGTACCCTATCATGGTCTGGCGGTTTGCGTAGTTCTATGACCCACTGTCAGGCGAACGCAGCTGTCAGTTCCTAAGAATGGGCCTAAGAAGGTGTCGCTGGGGACGGGTGATAGAATATAATTGTACGTATGCGGCGTGAAACAACTTCTGTGGTATCATAACCGATGGAGTGTTCTCGTGGGTGGTGTCATGGGTTCGGCTTTTGTCCCGGATGTCTATTTTTTCTTTCTTCATGTGTGCTTGGATTATTTCTAAAGCTTGTGGCTTGTAGCATGTTACAATTACGCGGTTTTCCACTCACTATAGAAGAATGATCGCAGCGTGATGTCTCATTTGTTGCTTATTCATGAACACCTTACTTCACTTGAGGTTCAGTTGAACATTGTTGCGTTTTTAACTCATCCTACAGGATTTCCTATATAACGCCACAAACCTGCATTTACTGGCGAACACCTTGGCTGCATCCTGTAGACAGAGTTCACACTCTTCGGAGCATCCGTTGCGTTCCCACTTAGCAAAAACCCAACAAGAAGTTTACGACGCNGCTCTTTGTGGTAAGTTTTATTACTCTCATTTTGAGCACAGCTTGTATCTTTGTCACTTAGCTTTTCGTGTATCATGGCTACAATCCATTACGTTAACGAGTGCACTATTCGCCGGGATGTTACCGGTTGGCGAAGTTCCGAAATTGGTTTAAACACATATTCTGCTTCCTATGGCTACCTTCGCGTTTAAAGCAGCATTATCCAGTTGAACGAACAAGTCGATCGCGATTCGTGTTCTCCAGTTGGCAGAATTTCCTTGTGGTTACTCCTTAATCGATTGCGCTGCATGGTGACTGTCATTTCAGAAAACATACTTTTGCTTGTTTATGTAATCAGCATTCACAACAGGTAGATTTAATAACCCATATTCGTAGGCGGAGGGTATCGGAGACTAGTCGTAGAATACTTTGACGTGTTCAGGAAAACCCACTTGAGTGACGCGTAAAATCACAAGCCAGAAATTGTGGATTCTTGATATTTATCAAAAGATGTGGTATTACATGTATAAAATACGTAGTAAAAAGGGTACAAACCTCGTCAAAGCTGTTGCACGAAGTAGTGCAAGTCCAAAGAAACCCCGGAGAAGATGACAAATCGATCTTATTTTGTGGCACACGCCTGGGTACAACGCGTGGTGACGCAAAATGGTCAAAAAGCGCGCGTAAAGGATGGCCGACCAAATTTGTTCGACAAGTCAAGGGTTAAAAGCTCAGGAGCGATTACAAATGCGTATCGAATCTATGAGGTAGACGCAGTAAACAGCAGCAGACAAGGGAAGAGTTTGACCAGGGGAAAGGAAGTACACTAGTGTTGAAATAATTTCTGCGCACGGAAGTGTGTGCTGTATATTCCTCGTGGTTGTAGTCACATACTCGAGTTTTCCAGGAGACAAACTGGGTAATCGGAAAGTTGCGATGCACCAAATGACGTATTCCGTCGTTGCCGGAATTCATCAGTACGTTGTATGGAGCTAATGGCCCTCTAGCGCATAAATTTCTCAACCGGGGTAATGCGAACCATGTGCGCTCAGATGTAAGCGGATGTCCGCCTCACTTTTTCTGGTCTAGACATCAAATTTTGTAAATATCGAGTTCCGAGCGAAGAACACTCGTTGTGGGATTCATTGTCGGTGCCGATATCAAAAACATTTCCAATCAGACTGCGACAAATGGCACACCAAAATCTCTTACGTTTTGTGAAATGAGACTGAGGCATCATCATGATCAAAGACAGCAACATCAGTGTTGCCACTGATGCTTCGCTGCCGTACCAGCTATCTGTACGTTTCTCCCTACACACCTTAATCTTTAAACACTTAATTGATTTAAGTGATGCAGTTACGTTGTGTTGAAGTGCACAGTGGAATGAGATTTTCCCTTTAGCTCTAGTCATAGGGAAGTGATCATCTGCCTTCATTATCCGTTTGACGTGCTGGAACAGGTAAGTAGAGTCGTCCCATATAGGGTCGACTGAAATACGACCGTGCTTGTTAAGACACTTATGGACTGGGTGACCTCACTGGTGTGTTATTGCCAATCACGGTTGCTTCGTATGTTAGTTTATTCTTTTTTCCACATATTTTTATGCTGATCTGTAGAGTTCTGGAATATCACTGTTGTGATATTGCAGTATCTTCGTACTATGTATGTATCTCACGTGGTATCAGCTATCATATGAGATCGAGAATTTTTTGGGAGTTTTTCTCGAATATTGAGAAGCCATTGTCATGGCATACTGGTTCGAGGACAGTTGTCCCCGATATAACAAAATTGGTTCGCATTTCCCACTGCATGTTAAGATGTCATAAGAACAAACAAGTGACGGGTCAGGTGTCTGGTTGCCTATGGACATACAGACTAAATTCACACTCGACTACACTCGGCCGTCTTTAAACATGACCTCAAGTTTTTCAACTTCGTATGTTTAGGAGTGCGCTCCAGTGAAAACAAGCTCAATGGCATACAGACCTAAGTGTTTGAGTGGGTGAAATTTCCGCGCTCACAGGTCGAGTTAAGACGTAACACACGAATAGAACGAAATTCGCTTGGTTGTTCACTCATTTTACTACACGCTCACACCCACTTTGGTTCTGTCAGTTGACCGGATCTTTTGTCAATAACCCGATTGTGGAACGCAGTGATATCTGCCAACGACGAATGATTATAGTCATGCAAGATCCACTCGTGTCTTTTTGCTTGATTGGAAAAAATGTACCATCAGACGGTTTATATAGATATGGGATGCCAGACAAGTACGTGACTGTGCTTAAGGTACTATACAAAAATATCTGATAAAGTTGGGACGTACACAGCGCTCTCGTCACCGTTTACTACCACTCCTTGTGTGCGACACAGTTGCCCTACTTACTCGTACCCTGTCAACTTTTCTTCCGACGACATCCTTTATTAGATCCTGATAAGGCACACCAATTACGGATCTGAAGTTCGCACATAACATCATTTCTCTTTGCTAACACGGAGTCATACCAAAATTTTCTGGATCGAATTGTGCTCGGGGCTGCATGGTTCGACATGTATTCTGAACCTTCGAGTTGTAGAGTAATGGTGCAATAGTGGATAAAAAAACTTCTGTCTGCTGTCATCTGAGTGGCGATCAGCTGGGAGTTGTAGGTGGTCCTATGTCCTTGATAAGTTGTTACGGCTAGTAGAGTTGTCGGAGGTAAGTTTTCACTGTGTATGTTCAAGACATAATTAGTATTATCCAATATATAACAGACTTGGTGTCGAAATGTCGTGAAGTCCTCGTCGATGGTATATGAAATTCTCGCAGCTGTGCGCATAGTTTTCTTGTGTTTTTGTAGAGTTTTCTTTTCGGTTCATTGACACATGAACTATCTGTTTTCTAAAGCCCGGTGTTTACCCACTGTTTCTCGTACCTACTAAAGGCAGCGTATCAACTAGAATGAGGTCCGTTGAAAAAGATAAATGTCCAGATGGCCCGGTTTTGTTAGGCGTGGTTTCAGTTTTGAACTTAAGGCTACTATAACGCATTCTAGGAACCACTTAAAACCAGCTACCTAAGCGATCGCTATTCATGATCGCCCGTGGAAATCACGAATAAATGAGGTAGTCAGCGATGCCGTGATGTAAATCATCATAATCGAATTCATGGTTATACGTCGGCCAGGATGCTGCCAGGGTGCCCAGACCTAGACAGGAGGATAATTAGGGTTCTCAACCAAAGTCTTTGGCCTAAAAGCCTGACCGCAAGGCTGCGGTGTTTGGTTGAAGACACAGGTGCCTTACAATTTTTATGGAGCATCTTTTAACCCTCAACCTGGAGCGTCGGGAGACTGTGTTGATCAGAACTCTAACTATTAACCAATCTGGTATGAGAGACTGTGAGTGTCGCACGGAGATTCCCCAGTATAACTCAGTAAGTCGCGGAGGTACACAAATCGTCACACGATGTTAAGGTCCAGACTCCTCGTGTCGGTGAGTTTAAATTGAAAATGGTCCCACAAAAACTAGTGGTAAACTGGGTGGGAACCATAGAAATTTCAGATTCGATTAGTCCCCACAGAGACCGAATAGCTCAATGGATTGCGGAAGCACACAAACCGCCACATCTCCTTAGGAAGGAGGAATTTAGCTATAGACTCGGGTTTGGTGATTTTATGTCGAACTTCTGGTTGGGAATCCGGTCCGGATCCTTATGGCTGAAATTGTTTGATGGCATGTCCAAATCTGGATTTGGATAGAAAGCCTGTTTCCCGTTGCTTTTCTCCGTACTACAACGAGGAATATATATGCAAAATAGCATCGAAAATATGTGAAACGTGGTCTCTTGTTTGTTCTCTTTTATCCGTTAATTTGTCCCATTCGGTACACGGCGCGTATCAGATTTAGCGATCCATAGTAGTCAAATCACTGGACGTCTGGGCGTAGAAACAAGCCACAGACAGTTTGCGCGCAGCCAACTGTTGTGATGCATGCAAGCTCTTCGCACGGATGTGAACCCCAGCGAATGATATCGATGGGCGTAGGTTCAGAGACCTGTCACAAACCATCTTCCGGCGTATACGTGATAGAATATCACTGGTCATCGACATGAGTTGTTTGTTTATCATGCACATGCCGACATCGCTTGTCAGTTCCCCTAGTGGATAGCCTAGCGGTGTTTTATTAACTGTGCGACTAATCATGTTGTCATCTCTTGAATAACGACGTCATGTGGGTGGTCATTAGAAAATACGACAAACTTACATGGTTCCAGTTGGTTGCGCTTATCAGGTGGACTGATTATATTGAGGAGATTCAGCTATTCCGAATGGCTCACTTGTTTCCTAGCACTGCAACGCGTCTCGTCACATGGTTTCTCACCCCTGCTTCGATGACCATTCTTCATGCGGCACAGTCGAGTGTCAGATCCTCCAATGACTTACCGTTTACAAGCCTACCTGATAGCTGTCCTAATGGTGGAATTCCTGGCATCTCCGATTCCGGACTCAGTTCTTTAGATGGCTGTAGACATGCGAGTTTGGGCCATTCGTTTCATATAGCCTAACACTTTCTCAGTTGTCGAGCTAAGAAAAGAGCCTGAGGAACAAGCTGCCGAGTGTATTGTTCGGCAAACTTTAAAGTAACCTTCCAATTCCTGTTTGTCCATATTGGTTGAAAGAATTTCGGAACTTGCATTTTGTGTAAATGTCCTGGATCCACCGACTATATGAGATTTGAGTACTGTTGTTTGTCCTAGCCATGGTGAGTTACGCGCAAAACCCCAGTATGAACCGTTCAAATGGAGGCTTATCAACAGATACGAATACAATAACACAATGTTAAGCTTGTACGAACATCACATGTTGGGATTACGTTGGCTTCTATATACCGGGTCAGGTACTGCTAATCCCAAATGGTATCCTGTACAAATAAGTAGGTAGGAAACAGTGCGCGCTCCGAAAGTTCATACTCACTTAAGGCAAAGCGGCCAAAATATGGCGAAACACAAGTGATCGATTTGAACGAACTAGCTAGGTCAGAGAGCGGTTTGTGTTCAGTATACGGGCACAAAACGAAAACAACAAAATGAAGAATCCCGCTGTATACAATAAGAATAGGAGAAAGGGATCGACACCCCCCTCCAAAGACAGCTTGGCTTTCCTTAGTCTATCAGCTACGGATTATATATATATATATATATATATATATATATATATATATATATAT